TTGACTCATTCCTCAGGGTCTAGCTTAAAGTCATCAGCTGGTTTCTGGGCCTGAAACAGGGCTAAAATTCCAAGTCTTTATCATTACCTGGCTCTTTCTACATTGCACCTGCTTGTAATGTATTTGAAGTACAATGCTGTATCTGACATACTTCCATCTGAGAATTTAAAGCAGGTTTAACAAGAATTGGTATATTTTATCAATTCTAATTAAATGTACTTGTAAGGTTCTGCCTTGCCAGCCTTCTCAAGAAAGCAGAACTCTTGAAACGAACAGCATTTCGAAAGGAACTTTTATTGGAAGACATTGATAGCAGATAAGAGTATAGGCAGAGTCTGAATTTTGCATGCTGGAGCATTAGGTCAAACTGCTCCTTTTTAGGCCCCTTCCAATGTCCAGTTCATCTTTGAGCCAATTGCAAGGTGCGAAGATGTGAGAAGATTTGGGCTGAGGTGATAACAGACAGTTCCCAGGCACAATGTTCTTGCTCCTGCAGTGGTGAGACAAAACACATGGCCCAAGACACATTCTTTCTCCACTCCTAACATCCCAAAGGTAGATCAAAGCAGAGAACAAGAACAAAGGAAAATCCCATGCAAGTGTACCCTGAATCCTCTCCCTTTCCTCCAGAATGGCAAGTTCCCAATAGAGATCAAGGGGACCGGACAGTACTTTAACTGTCTTGGAATACCCAAAATGTTAATAATAAGAAATTGAAGTTTTATGGCTTTGTTTATTTCTTTCTTGAATTTCTAGGTCACCCTAGTCCAAAACTTTTCTGAGCAGCTTCACAAATTACAAGAAACATCATGCAACATTACATAAAAATAACCATAATCTGAGGGACAATGTAACCACACCAATTATATCACCCAGAAGGCCTGTGGGAAGGATTTTGGCAGGAGAACTTTGGCAGAGAAGAACATCCAATAGCATTCTGTCTTTCACTTATAATGAGCAGGATGAACTTTCCTTCCATATCTATAGGTGGTAGAAAGATTTACAGAACATATATAAGCAGATAATCTGGTACTGCAATGTCAGATATGCTAACTGGTGGTGAGAAAAGGCAGCACTGCAACTTGTACTTAATCTCAGACTTTTAGTAGGCAAGATCTATGGTTGGTTGTAATACCTTGATTTATGACTAAAATTGGTATGGGAACTTGCTAAGCAATGCAGTTGTTAATAGTCACAGTTTATTTACAACTTTTCCCCCATAATCATTAAGCAAATTTCTGCAGCTAAGAAACAGGCTCTGTATTGACATGCACATCGCCCCCGGTCTCATTTCACTGTCAGAGGTCTTCAGGAAAAGCCTCTGCAGTTGATCTGGAGCTCTGTTATTGGCTTTACCTTTTGTTTTTTTGTGATAACATATCCTGAAAAATAAACACCCATCAGAAAGCTGTAACAGAAATGCGTAAAAGAACATCAGGTAATGTTCTGAGGAAAGGAAAAGGAAGCCTTGCCCTTTAAGGAAAAAGGCAAAGATCTTTCTTTTGTGGATTCAAATTTCCCAGCTGGGAAATTTTACTGCAAAATCATTTGGTCAGCTGCATTGGAAGCCAGAATCAGTTTATTAATAGAAAGGCAAATAAGAATAAACCCTACAGCATTCCTGAGATTAACAAGTGAGTAGGAAAACCCCTTTCTTATACACTTCAGGTTCTTTGATTTATAAGTGTGAATCTTTGAAGTTTTTTTTTCCCAAAAGTTTTATTAATTTTTAAAAAACAAACATACAGACCAAACACAAAACATAAAACATCTTTTTTGAAAGCAGCTTGATCCTGGGTTACATCTCTTCATACAGACATAAATTCAAATTCATGCTCACTTTTATACACTATTTCATATCTTATTACCATTCTAGATTTTCTATATAGCTTCTCCCCTCTTTTCACTCTCTTAATTCTATTTTATTTCATCTCAATTAAAATCATTATACTTATATCCTTTGTCTGTCCTGTTTCAATTGTCTATTATCTTTTCTCATTAACACAAAATTTCTCCTGTAATCACTGATTGGAGTATGACGTCTTTATATCTTTCCCCTAAGTTTAACACTTAATATAACACATAACTTTCATTCCGATTCTGCTTAGTACATTCTAAAGCTACACACTATATTTTTAAAAGAAGAAAAAAATATAAATATATAATTAAAACAACAATCCATACCAGTTAAACTCTATCGTTAAAATTAATATTCATTTAAATCTTAAACATTTTACACATTCCTTTTCAAATAAGTCTCATGCTTCTATGGGAACCCTTATAAATTTTGCGTAATTACTTCCCCCCCATTTCACGTATATTTTAAAACATTATGTAATTAAAATGTTCCCATTCCTTTTTAATTTAATTCTCTCACATTTCATTTCATTTATTTTGTTCAAAAGAGAAAGTTTCACTAAATTACATTGAATATTTTATCCCATTTTATAATCATGTTATTCCAATTTTCTAACATTATTTCTAATACAAATAAAAACAATACAGTCTATATGTACCTTTGCAGAATCTCTTTTTCAGTTATTATCTTTACCCATTATCTCTAAAGAAATCCTGTTTCTTTACATCTTGTTTCAAACCTTTGTAGCTTCTCTTCCCTTCCTTCCTCCCTTGCTTCTTCACACCCTTTTTACCCCCTTGTCTCTCCATCTCCATTTCCCTCTTCTGTATTCCTCTTTTCTGTTGCCTTCTGACATTATATCCACTTTTCACCTTATTTTTCCCTTTTTTGGTTGCTTTTTTAGGTCTTAAATTCTCCATTCTCTTTCCCATCTTTCCCCTTTCTTCCCCAGATAAAGTTACTTGTTCATTAAAGATGGCTTCTTCTTTGTCCCAATCTTCTTGTTCTTGTAGTTTCTCATTGGTAGAAATCGCCATTTCTAAAAAGTTGAAAACAGATCCAAAAGAGCCCTTCCCTTCTTGTTCCTCTTCTTTATATTTTTTGAATTCAATTTTCAGTTCATCCACAAGTGATGCCATTATAAAAAAAAATTTTAAACAACCACCCAAGTATTTTTAATCATTAAAATATAATTTCCAAAAGTCCCAAAGTCACCAAGCCGTCCAAATACACACAAGCTGTTCCATTTAACACTTTTCTCGTTTTTCACTTTCTCTTCCTGGGGTTACAATTCAGTTACAAAGTTCCAATTAAAATGTATCTTTTAGAAGTCTTATTACAATTTAACTTTCGATTCTTTTAAATTCCAAGCAATCTCCTCCAGTCAAATCATACTCTTTATTCTTTTCCTCTCCCTTTCCACTTGCAGCCCCCAATTTTTTTTTTTCAATGTTCAGAAATCTTTATTATCCCCTTGGCTTTAATTTTCAGTTTAATTACCTGTTGATGCCAATGCGGGTTTTTCTGATTTCTCATTCATCTGCTGTCACTGTAAGGAAGGAGAGTGAGAAAAAACAAAATTTCCCTTTTCCCTTTCATTCGCTGCTTCTGGATCTTCCTTGGGAACAATGAATCTTTTTTGAGATTTAAATTTAAATTCCAGGATATCTTGAATATTGCTTCTTATCCCGGTCAGCCATAACTTTCACTTCTTAGTTTCCTCCTGCACATACTTTTCCGGATGAGTGCTTCTTTGTGGTGGCCATTTCTGACCACCGCTCTCCTGCCTTCGGAAAAGGGAGTTAAGCCAGCTGAAGAGGGGAGGTGCGGACTCCCCTCAAAACCCTGCCGGGTCTCCCCTGTCTTCAGCCACCTCTACGGGGTGACTTTAGCCCCGAAGCCGGCTGGCTCGGTGGCACTCCAGCGGCGAGCGCAAGCAGAAACCGCACACGATCGCGGATTCCTGCTGCCGCCGAAGCCCAGCAAACTGGAAGTCTAATCTTTGAAGTTTTTGATTTGTGTTTGTGTGATGAGTTCCTGTCTCGAGATTGGGATCTCTTCCTGGGATCTTGGTAAGAGTAATTGTTTTATAGTCTAATCTCTGTTTTTCCCTGATCCTTTGTAGCTATCAGTTTGCACCTGGTTGCAATATCCTGAATTTCCTGTTACGCTGTTTCTTTTCACAAGTTTTTTTTATAGCTTGCCAACTATTTGATTTCTATGGGAAAGGACCTTAGCTAATGTGTCCCATGCAAAGGTGGGGGCTAATGGAGCTGACCCTGCTTGTGTTTTCACCTCCTTTCTTTTAGGGGAATTTTCCTTCCCCTTCTAATGTTTTAAGATTTATTTTTCTTTTCCTAAGAGAGGTGTGAATCGTAACTTCCAACAGTTCTTTTTAATATCTGGAAACTTTGACCTGGGGCACCTTAAAAAGAACACAAGTGTTGTGTACACATCAGAAGTTATGCTTCTATTTAAGGCTTTTGAAAGTGCATTTTTAAGGCTGCAGCCTTGCTTCAGTCTGCTGTGGAACCTCTCAATCCTCTCACATATGAGACTATGGGAAAAGACTGGGAAAAGGAGCCTTCTGTTGCAGTGCTTTCTGAGGGAGCTTCCCAAGTTGAGTGCCAGGCTTTGCAGTCATGGCAGTGAACAAACTTTTACAGTCAGTACAATTTTAGATTCATGATGTATCTCTATAGCCTACGAAATACAAACTTTTAAGCCATGTTAGGATGAACTGGGAATGAACAAAAGAGAAGGAAGATAAGAAATATTGTGTTTAATATTTTAAACCCACCAGTAAAATATAAGAGAAGGGCAATTGCCTCTGTCGTTTTAACTGCAAAGAACTACTCAAAGTGTTGGCAACTATCTTCAGCACATGCAGTTTAATTAAAAAGATTTAAGCCCACATTCGATGAGGAATCAAGGTTGGGAAATCTCTTTTCAGTTCATTCAAAAAAATACAGATATCAGGACAACGTTGAATAGGATAAAAAGGGAGAGGGATACGTTTTTCTGTGAAAAATATCCTTATAATTTCTTTCTTTTAGAATTCAAGCATGAATACCAAAAATCAAAACAGGGCTTTTACCAGATAGCAAAAGATGGATTCACTGAAGTTATTTTTGGTCTGGGACTCTTCCCTTTAATAATCAATCCTTCACTGAAGCAAAAACAGAAATATATCCAATAAGCTATAGACATCTGCTATAAAAGTCACAAAAAACTGCCAAATTAATTCCTCAATGGGCCTATTGCCATGCAACGCATAGCATCTCCAAGTAGAAAGACTAACAAAAGGTAACTTAAAAGAGTGCTACATACATGACTTCTCCACTTCTACTATGGTCAAATAAAATATCCACCAACATTATCTGATCTCTGTTTATAATTCCCATTGCTATAGAAAGCTGAAAATTTGTCCATGTAGATGCGCTTTTTACAGCAGATTTCTAGTTAGGCCCTTCAGGAAAATAAAAATAAGAAAAATGGTTCAAAATACAATGGAAACCCTGTCCTTTTTTGAAGAGCAGCAGCCTTGTGAAAAGTGATGGTTGTTGCAGAATGAGGATTGAGGAGGGTCACCTAGCAACAACCTGAACCTTAAATGAACCTGAAGTGAGGAATGTTTATTCCCACCAATAATGGCTGAAGATCCGGTCAAGTAGAAACCCCCATTGCCTTCTGTGTTCAAGCAATTCTTTCTACGGAACCTATTACTTCCTTAGAGACTTATCATCCAGACAATTTCATATAGTGCAAATGTATAGGATTCAGGCCTCATATTTCAACATCACTTTCTTTATCATTATCATGATCACCATCGTAGAACTCATTGGAAGCTTCTGGCCTGCAAGATATAATAAAGTTACATAGGGTAAGGAGATAATGTAGCAAAAATTAAGGATAAATATGGAATCTGCTTATTTAAAAAAATGCAACAAGCACATGGCTCTGAAAAGGAGCACTATGGCTATTAAACATATCATTCCAAGAGTCCCAATCAATACATACTGATTTATAGGAGGTAACTACTGGAGTTTCTCTTGAGTATCAGGTTAAAATATACAGTTTTTATTTGAGGGACAAATGTAAAAACATGCCTGCTGTAATTATCTTCTGAACTTCTCTCTTCTGGATCAGGCTCATCTGTGCGATCGTAGCTCAGAAGATCAGAAGGGACATCATGGATCTGGACACTAGGTGCATGATTCAGCATCTTCAAATTCTCAAATATTGTCTGCCGTATTTGATCTAAGTACTTCACACAAAACACAAAACGCAGAAAACCCTATCAAGCCAATTACTTCAACAAACATTATCAAATTCCTGTCATCATTTTTGCAGTCATCGAACTTAAGCATAGTAACAAAATGAATGTACTATAAGGAACAGGCTTTAGTAAACAGAAGCACTAATAATGCATCTTTTGAAACTAATAATTAAAGGAGATATTTTGGAAAGGAGACAAATAAAGGAAAGGGTCAATTTGTCCATTTAACAGGAGATACTCACCTGCCTTGAATTCTGATTTTCAATTCTAGTGCTGACATCAGGGTGGAGAGTAAAATCTGGAGCAAAGTATTCAAAATATTCTTTATGGATAAAAAAAGAGAAATGCTTCTATATATTAAAAGGAGAAATCCACATGTAGCACACATTAAAGCAGAACAACAAACAGTTGTTGAGGAAATATAGTTAATCCTCAAGTTACTAATGTAATAAAGCCTCCCAATTACATTTGTAATCCAAGGATTCATTTGATTGAACCACGTTAAATGAATGTAATCCCTCCCTGCTTTCTGCAATGCATTTGTTAATTGAATGCATAGGTTCATGGATATGTACATGAAGTATCTCAGGATGGGGAAGGGCATGCTGGGCCTGGTGCATCAGCAGGCCACTGAAGGCCTCTCCCAACCCACTGTGATACCTCATGCTCCCAATTGCTTCCCCCCCATCCTGTCCCACTGAGTGTTCATAGACTGGGGCTGCTTTGCTAACATCCCAGATTTCACTTACTCCTCCCCCACTCCATTTCCCATGCCCATGGATTATTTACTTTGAATGGTGGCCAAGCTGTAAGAACATGAAATCTAAGGAAAATATTTTTGCCACTTTCTGAGTAAAAAACTGGCTGTGGTCAAGTCACCGGAAGCCCGCTGGGAGAAGAAAAGGCCTGGGTGGGGCCGCCACAGCCGCCTGCTTCAGGGCAGCTTCAGGGATTGAGTCAGCAGCATAGCCAATCAAGGAGGAGTTTGCTTCCTTTGTCTCATTTGGCTGAACTGCAAACTCCTCCTTGATTGGCTGTTGCCACAATCTTTGAAGCTGCTCATTCGAACTAGCCAGTCAACAGAAAGCAGGAGGCTGCTCAGCACCAGCCAGACTGGGTCCCAACAAGCTTACAGGCCTCATGGCAGAGGAGTTGAAATCAGATGGGGCAAAGTTGTTTTCCTTGCATCTCACATTCTTACAGCTTCACTGGCTTCTGAATAAATAAAAGACTTTGGCTTTGTCATGTGGGTCCGACTCTGGAGCCCTTCGAAAATTAAATAGAGATGGAGACCTGGTGGGGCAGGATAGTGGGGGGGAAATAGGCAGGAGGCATGTTGTGATGACCCAGGTTGTCCTTTAATGCCTCCAACTTGGCCCTACTGTTCAATAATTCTCAGCTGGAGATAAAACGTATTCAAAAATACATCTTTAAAAGAAAGCAATACAGTCCGAACTTAATGAGCAGATAGAGGTGAAATAAAAAACTAAAACAAACTATAATGAAGGAAATTCCACAACAGTAATAAGTAATTACCAACTGCAAGGAGATAACAAGACACAGTGGGTTGGAAGGATGCCAACTAAGATAATTTCAGACTAAGATAAAACACGCTTTGCTTCTGGCAACGCTGTGATTTAACCCTCTCTCTTATATACTATTCTCCCCAGCTGCAACCAATGAGGAGGATCATGGCTGCTTCCTCTCTCATAAGCCAAGTTGTTGCCTTCTCTGTCCCTCCCTGCGTGTCCTAAGATGAAGAGAGGATGGGCCTGGTTCTTCCTCTGACTGCCCAGCCGGCCTCTGCCCTTCCCCAACCTCCTCCACAACCTCCGGAGCCACACCTCCACTCCCTGTTGGCTGTTCCTCCTCTCCCTCAGAGTCTGACTTTAACAAGGGCATGACACATGTTGTAGCGTCTCTGCAGTTGGTGGTAAGAGTGAATGACCACTGTGATGGAGTGTTTTTCCAGTGAGGCTGGTTTATCAGGACAACCTGGTCTACCCAAATATGGGACGGAGCATACAGCTTCCACTTTTGCTTTTCAGCTGCAATCCAGGAGTCTTCGCAGTCAGTCGCTTTTGCAACAAACTATTTTTGTACTGAATTTATATTTTAGTGACAAAGAAACTAGTATAGATCTATTTCAAGCTATTTAGCTCTCATCAGCTAGTCATATCCTTTCTAGGATTCAAACCTGGACAACTTGCATATTAGGTAGATATATTAAGTAGAAAGCAGAAGCAGTATGCTCTGTCTCATATTTGGGTAGACCAGGTTGCCCTGATAGACTGGTCTCAGCGGAAAAATACTTAATCTCTCCCCTGGAATAGCCAACAAAGTGAAGAGAGCCCATGATTTAGAAGTTAATACATCTAGCTAATATGCAAGTAGCCCGGGTTCAAATCCCAATGTGATAACCCGACGTGTAGCACAAATGTAACAAAAACCAAAACGTAAATAAAGGTCCTTTAATGCCTTCAACTTGGCTTCACTGTTCAATTGTTCACAGTTGGAGTTTAAACTATTTTCAAAATAACATTCCAAATGAAAGAAATATAGTTCAAACTCAAATAGCAGATAACGGAGCAAAAACCAAAAACAAACCACACTGAAGAAAGTTCCACAACAGACCAGAATAATTAATTACAAACTTCAAGAAGATAACCAGGTACAGTCCGTTGGAAGAACGCCAACCAAGGTAAACCTCATCCAGGAAAAAACACACTTGTCTCCAGCGTTTGCTAGCACGCAGGTCCAAACTCTTATGCAGATCTCACACCTGCAACCCATGAAGAGGATCATGGCCCTCTTCTCCCAAGTAGATCACATTTTTCCCTGATCCTCTCCTCCCTGTGTGCCCTAGGATGGATAGGGGATGGCCCTGGGTCCTCCTCTGACTGCTCAACCGGCCTCTGCCCTTTCCCAGCCTCTTCCACAACCTCTGGAGCCACACTTCCACTCCCTGTTGGCTGTTCCTCCTCTCCCTCAGAGTCAGTCTCCACCAGGGGCATGACACCCAGAAAGGATAGGGCTAGCTGACAAGAGCTAAGTAGCTTGAAATACAGCTATACTACTCTCCCCTTATTTCTTTGTCAGTAAAATATAAATTCAACCACTGTGGTACTGCAACATGCATTACATGCATTACTTACTTGTAAATACTTTTTGGGGGGGGCGGGGGCGGGTGTTTCCTAATTTTGAGCGGTTGCTAATTGAACTATCATAACTCAAGGATTATCTGTAATACAATCTTAACTTTTTTACTCTTTTGTCTGAGACATACCATAAAGTGTAAACACAAGACTTCTGTTTTAGATAGAAGGTTGAATTAGAAGACCTCCAAGGTCCCTTCCAACCCTATGATTTTATCTGCTAAAATCTCCTCACAACTGGCTACAGTTAGAAAAGAAAAGAAAATTTCCCTGGTGCTTTTTATTCTTAGTGTCAGCTGCATATCTGGCTTCACCTAGCATATTAACATGCAGTTTTCCCCCACTGGGTACCCAGGATCTTCAACATTAACAAATCATTGCTGATACATGAGTAAAGAGACCATTTTTCAGATAATGTGACTGTAAGTTATTTTTAGAAGTCTAAATAATGAAAGTAGCCCCTTTAATATAGGTCCAGTATTTGCTTAGCAGTCAGCAAAAGGCAGTGCATTAATGTTAAAATTTCTGTTTTGTTAAAGATTTACTGATGTACCTAAATTTATTTTAAAGGCAACACTGGCTATGCTATTTCAGTACAATATTCAAACATTCTGCTTTAATGAACCAATATTTCATAAACATAATAAACCAATAAAATGATTCTGGGAAATTACACTAAACATAGTATGGAGGAAGAATTTTTTACATTTCTCAATTGTGTTATGAAATTGTTCACCTTTGAACTGATGATAAATGAGACATTATTATAACTGCATAGTATGCATAAAGTATAAACTACTGCACAAATATAGAAAAGTTACTGTGTGTTATATACTAAAATATAATAAAATTTATAGTATAGTATTCTTTATATATCTAGCTAAGAAAAGGCTAAACAAATGATTGTTTATATTTTAACACAGAATAACCTGACTTACCACTATATGGAAGCTCCTCACTAATTGCTTCATCTACAAGCAATGATGTTTCATAAGTCCTGAAAAGAAAGGCAGACCGTATCCATCAAGGCCACATATCTATTCCATTTACTTACTTACTAATTTATTACATTTATTGGCTGCCCATCTTACCATAGGGTAACTGGGCAACTTACAATAACTTGTAGCCATGAAAGATGACTATCTCCAGCCTATCTCAATGCTCTTACAATACTCACCAGCATCGGGCCACATTGCGAACTGTATAACCACCACCTCCTAATACCAGAAGGGGAATGTTGAAACTTTTTACATATTCCACACACTCCCTGGAATCCAAAATTAGAATGTTTATATTGGCATATACACACAAATAAAAATTGTGTTTGTGTAAATCTAGACATTTACTGCAAATGAATGCTGTTAAATGCTAAGCTATTAGGGGATTGCCAAACCCAACCTCCCCCAACATTTGAAGAATACCTTATTAATTTAGAGAAAATCCATTGGGGTCTATGCAGAAGAAAAGGGCAGAGAGCAGAATATTTAGATTCAAAGATAGAAGGTGGTTGAGAGAGCCATCCTTTTTCTGATGCTTGCTTTTCTGTCTCCAAAGAGGAAGAGTGTCAGCCCTTGCTGGAGTTCAAATCAATTACAGAGATCTTTGAAAGACACCACAGGCCCAGTTTTAGTGCAATGAGAAGATTGCAACAGTGTTTTTGACAGCTAATATTAAAACTGGAAGAATAGATGCAGTGCAAGAACTATGATCTCTTCATACTCTCAAAGGCTGACATAGACTGGAATTGCAATAACGTGTTGTGACTATAGTTACTTTGCCTTTTAAAATAAGCTCAGCACTGAAAATGAATAATGGCTCTTAAGCAATTATAAAGACAGCAGTTTGCTAAGGGGTGTGCATGTGTGCAAAAGAAAGCAAAATGGCAGTCAATATATGTATATTGAAGAGATATACTTCAATTGTGCTGCCAGTAGCAACATCACTGTGAAGAGCCTGGGCAGCATATGACAACACAGAGTTGAAAATATGCATAGTTTGTGAATAAATTACTCTTTCTGCTTAATTTGTTAGTAAAGAAAACAACATGGTCAGTTAAAAACCAAGCACACCACATTTAGTGTAACATTTTTTAACACACCATACAAATTCCTATTTAGTCTGCAACAGAAAAACTAAAAGCACAGTACAATGTCTATATTTTTTCTGCTGAGATGCAAATACAGCTGTGCAGTGATTGGGAATTGAAGGGGAAAAGATTATGCAGATGGCCCAGAAGTGCGCCATTGTATTTGCTGCCATTGTTTGAAGAAGCTGTGCTTTTTCCTATGCTCAGAAATGCAAATGGAGATTTAAGAGATGCCCAAAGAAGATCTAAATCACCTTTTCCCCTTCAAATCCTGATTGCTATAAGGCAGCTCAATTGAAGATGTATTTAAATATGATTGAAATAGCAGTACAAATACAGATCTTTTTTCTGCAAGATGTTTGGCAGCAGTTTTGGAAAAGTGTTTTATAATAAAAAGGGGGTACAGGAGAATTTTGAGGGATCTTAATCCCTAAAAAACCAGAATTTTGACAACATTAAAAGGGAGAAAAAGCAGAGTCATATCCTTATTAACCTAATTTCCCATTTAATTTTTAATGGGTTATAAAATGGACTTACCCATGTCCTCTTATACTGAGATTAAAGCAACCCAGGCGATCACAGCCTAAGGAATCAGCACCACACTTAAAGGGGTAAGCAGGAGAGATAAAAATGAGGAATAATGACAATTGAATTTTCTAGCAAACCTACTCATTATTATTGTAATCCCCTCTTGTAATCCATGAGTCCCTTCATATGACCACAAGCAACAGCCATCAAATATTCTCACCTGCAGCACTATGCAAGTTGGCTGATAGAATTCCACCACTTGATTAATGACTGGCTGGAAGAGGTGCTTATAACCTTCCAAACAAAAAGACAGAGACCACTGCTATAATTTCTCTGGTGAAGTATGTAGTGAAGATGAATAATACAACAAGGTCCAGGGGAAGACTCACTTTGGTCATCAATACCATCCCGCAAAGGTACATTTAGACAGTAATAGCGGCCACTCTCAGCCCCAACTTCATACATGTCACCTAAATGACAGTGTAGAATTCAAATAGAGGTACATATTAGAAAACATCCATTTTTCATAAATGTGACACAGAATTTGAAATTCTTTCACATTAGCTGGCTAATAGAATTCTGATTCTTAAAAAATGACAAAGAACAATAAAAGATTTTGTACCTGTACCAGGGAAAAAGTAATTCCCGTATTTGTGAAAAGATACTGTCATGACACGGTCTGTCAAGTAAAAAGCTTCCTGCACACCATCTCCATGATGGATGTCTATATCGATGTAAAGTACACGTGGATGGTACCTGTCAGAGAAAAAAAAACTTTTCTGTGGGAAAAAACGTATCTCCTAACATTGGTAAATCTTAAAGTCCCATGTATGAAAAATCTGTACTTATCACCAGTGCTTGGGCGGGGGGGTTGGATTAGATGACCTACAGGGTCCCTTCCAACTCTGTTAGAAGCTGCTGCAATTCTGCAGCATTGATCTAAATTGCCAACACCTTAAAATCCTACTGAAGAAAGAAAAATCTGTCCAGGATCACATTCTGATAAATTGTAAAGCAGGCAAAAATACTCATTTTCTATTTCAAGATTTTTCTCAATCATGCATCACCTCTCTGTAGTTGTAATACCCTCTTGTTTTTGTCATTCTCCTCTCAGAATTGATGAAGAACTGGAGTGATGATGGAGTGATGGTGTGTAGAGAATTTCTGAAGTTATGCCCAAAGTTAATACATTTCCTCCGAACTCAATGAGCAAGCAAAAATATCACCAGTACTTCTACCAGAATGTTAATACATTCCCTCTGAACACAATGAGCAAGCAAAAATATCACCAGTACTTCTACCAGAATTTAAAACATTAGAAATAAACAACAAAAGTTAACTTTGATTTTAGAAAGTTATAAATGAATTAAGGGTCCAGATAAATTTGAAATAAGATTTTGGAATGCATTACACAGGTAGTTTTTATAGACTTAAAACTGTTTAATGACAGTTCAGAATTATGATGGTGTGTTTTATGGCCCATAAAGCACTTCCACCCATTGTGAGAACTTCCAGTTGCAAGGCTTCGGCGGTGGCAGGAATCCGCGTCCCTGCTGCGCTCGCCGCTGGAGTACCCCTGATCCAATTGGATTTGGGGGTTGTCGTTACCCCAGAGGGGTAACGGAAGATAGAGGAGATCTGGGCAGGGGTCTGGGGACATCGCAACCCCTTTCCCCAGCCGGCTAGACTCCTTTTTCCGAAGGCAGTGGAGCGGCAGTCAGCAATGGTTGCCACAAAGAAATCTTCAACCGGCTAAGACTGTACAGGAGGAAGAGTTTAAAAGCGAAAGTTTTTTGGCTGAACCAGGACATAAAGTTATATCTAAACACCCTGGAAACCTGACTTTTTGTACGATATATTGTTTCCAAAGGAGGCTGTCAAAGCGGCGAACGAAAGTGCTGAAAGGGAAAGTTCACTCTCCTTCCTTACGGAGATAGCAAACAGACATTGAAAAACCTGCTTTTATATAAAAGGTAAAAATTAAAAGCTATTTGTTGTAAGTGGGAAGGGAGAGGACAAAAATATATATATATACTAAGACATTGCTGGAGGAGACGCTTGAAGATTATAAGACCAGAAATTAATTGTAATAAGGCTTTAAAATACATTTTGGGACTTTGTAACTGATATTGCTCCAAGAGGAGAAAGTGTAAAGGGAAGAAGATGAAACATTTTGTGTCTGTTTTGATTGCTTCATGACTTTGGGACTCTTGGAAACTACTATAAGATTTAAAACATTTGGGTTGTTTTTAAAAAGAAGGAGAAGGAGGAGGAGGAGGAGGAGGAGGAGGAGGAGGAGGAAAAGCTTTTATAATGGCATTATCTGTGGATGAATTAAAAATGGAATTTGAAAAATTAAAGGAAGAAAACCAAGAAGGCAAGGGCTCTTTGGGAGCTGTTTTTCATTTCTTAGAAATGGTGATTTCTACTTACCAGCAAATACAACAACAAGAGGACTGGGAAGAGGAAGAGGAAGAAGAAGAAGCAGCCATCTTTAATGGACTAATTAAGAAAGAAAAGAGGAAGAGGGGAAGGAAAATGGAGAATTTAAGAGTTAAAAAAACAACCAAGAAAGAGAAAAATAAGGTGAAAAATCGATACAATGTCAGAAAGCAACAGAAAAGAGGAATACAACAGAGAGGGGAAGCTAAAAAGGTGGAGGTTAGGAGATGGGGGGGGGCAAAAAAGCTAGATTGGATAAGAAAGGAAGGGAAAAAGGGGAAAAAAGCCACAAAGGCTTGAAACAAGATGGAAAAAAGCAGATTTTTTTTAGAGACAAAGGGTACAATTTAAAAAAGATTCTGCAAAAGTACATAAGATAGTATTGTAGTACTTGTATTTGAAATAGAAAATTGGAATATTATAAGATCTAACAAAAATTAAAATATTAAATGCTTAATAATGATAGATTTCAATATTTAATAAAACATTAATGGGAATGTGTAAAATGTTTAATTACTTGCTATTGTTTTAATGTTATTATAAATTTATTGCTTCATTTTTTTGTTTTTTGTTTCTTTAAATAATGTATTAAGCAGAATTAGAATGGAAATTATATATTTAACTATATTATAATTTATTATTTCCCTATTTTTTTTTAAACAAGTTTTATTGATTTTACAAACAAACAAACAAGACAAAACATCATTAAACATTAAAAACATAAAACCTCTTTCCATTGTAGATCCTTACAAGGCAGGTAACATATTGCTTTATATCACATACTTATAATTTATCCCATTTCCATATAAACACGTAAATTCCCTTTACCAAATTCCACATTGTTTCTCTTTAATCATTATTCAATCATATTTCCTTTCTGATTTATCTGCTATCCAGTCATCAACTTTATATTTCCCTCTGGCTTGTTTATAATTATTCTCATCTAGTCTTCTTCTGAGATTTTATTATTTAATTCTTAATTAAACACACACATAAAACACAGACATAAAAAACATAAAGCTTTCTTCTAGAAAGTAACTTGGCCCCAGATTACCTCTTTTTGTATGGACTCAGTTGTATTCACGCTTTTCTTATATACCATTACCCATCTTATTTACCATTCTATATCTATTATATAACTCCTCTCCACTTTTGCCTCATCTTAATTCTGTTTTATATATTTAATCTTGCTTTTTTTTTAAAAAAATATTTTTATATCTTTTGTCCATTTCTCCATTTACATCTGTCTCATTTCCAATTTAAGAAAGAATAGTTTCCCCTGGAATCACTAATCGGAGTATGATGCCTTTCTATCATTCCCCTAAGTTAAAATTTAAAATAACACCTAAATCCCAATCAGATTCTGCTTAGTACATTCTACTATTTCAAAAACCAATACTACAATAATAAATCCATAACAATCAACACATTAATCCATTAAACTCTATATTCAAACTAATATTTTAAACATTCCCTTTAGTATTTTATTAAAACTTATTATCATTCATTATTAAACCTTTTAAAGTTATACCTTGATATTTTAGCTTTTTATTAGATCTTAAAAAGTTCTGGTTATCTATTTATAATACAAATACCACTATTACAATACTCATGTGTACTTTGCAGAATCCCCCCCCTTTTTAAAAAAAACCCATATATTACCCATTATCCCTGAAAAAAATTTCCTTATCTCCATCTTGTCTTATATCTTTGTAACTTTTTTCCCCCTTTTCCCTTTCCTTCTTAGCCCGCCTAAACTTTTTACCCCCTCCTCTCAAAACCTCTGCCTTCTTAATTTCCCCTTTCTGCATTCCTCTTTCCTTTTGCTTTCTAGCATTCTGTTGTTTTTGCATCTTCTTTTTCTCTTTCATAAATATTTTTTTATTTCTTAAGTCCTTCCTTTTCGCTCCTCTCTTTCTCCTTTCTTTCTTAGTCACACCGTTTAGTTCATTAAAAATGGCTTCTTCTTCCTCGGTTTCTTCCAGCTGTTGTTTAATTTGCTGACACATAGCAAACGCCATATCTAGGAAACAAAGGGCTTCTCCCATAACATCTTTGCCTTCTTTCTTTGTTTTTAGATATTGTTTTTTTAGTTCATCAAGAGATAGAGCCATTTTAAAGTTTTTTCTTCTCTTTCTGTATCCTCTTCTTAAACCAATCAGTTATTTCAAGGCTTAAAACAGTTCCCAAAAGTCCCAAAGTCCCACAGTCATCAAACAGTCCAGGCAGAGTAGAAGCTTCTTCTTTTTACAGTTTCTCTTCTAGGGGTGAAGTCAAATTAGGGAAAGAAAATTCTCTTTATCTTCAAGGCATCTCCTCCAGCAAAGTCTTAGAGTAAAAATTTGTTTTCCCAAGCCTCTCCCTTCCCACTTATAACAAAGGAGTTTAGGTTTTACCTTCTACCAAAAGGCTGGTTTCCCTTGTCCATTTGTTAATTCCATAGGGGAGGGAGAGTAACTTCCCCTTTTCGTCACTTTTCTTCGCAGCTGAAAACATCAATCGGGAACAATAGCTTCCAAGTCATTACTTTCCCAGGTGTTAAATATATCCTTAAGGTCCCAGTTCGACCAAGAAAAAACTTTCTTTAAAAAAAAAAAGAAAACTCCTTCTCCCTCCTGCGCATTCTTTATCCAATTGCCGGCTTCTTTATGGTGGCCATAAAAAGACCACCGCTGGAACCGTCTTGAGAAAAGGGGGTTATTGCCGGCTGGGGGGGAGGTTTGTGATGCCCCTCACCCCCGTCCGGATCCCCCCTATCTTCAGCTGCCCCAACAGGGCAGCCTTAGCCTCCAAATCCGTCAGGATCGGAGGCACCAAGGCGGCTAGCACAGCAGGAATCGCAGAGAAGGCGAATCCCTGCTGTCAGCAAAGCCGACAACCGGAAGTGTGATTATTTCCCTATTTTAAAATGTAACATGTAAAATATACTAAGCAGAATCAGAATGGAACTTATGCATTATTTCAAGTGTTAAATTAAGGGGAAAGATAGAAAGGCGTCATACTTCAACCAGTGATTACAGGGGAAATTTTCTGTTAAAGAGAAGAGATGAATAGATAATTGGAAAAGAACGGACAAAAGATACAAGTATAATGATTTAAATTAAGATGAAATAAACAAAATATAATTAAGAGAGTGAAAAGAGGGGAGAAGTTATATTAATTTGTGTTAGATAGAATGGTAAATAAGATAAGTAATGGTATATAAGGTGAGCATGAATTTGATTTTGGTCTGTAAAAAAGATGTAACCCGGGGCTAAGCCACTTTCCAAAAAGAAGTTTTATGTTTTATGTTTTGTATTTTGTGTGTTTATGTT